CTGCTTATATACTAGAGGGTGTCTATGGAGAAAAACACGATACTTTACCCCAACCCGTATATGATTCCATTTGGCATAAACAATTGATGGGTTGGTTTACGAGCCTTGCACTTGAGGACAAGGTGAGAAAGGAGTTGGGTCTACCTCGAGTAGTTTGCGAGTATGCAGATATTTTTCTAAACGAGTTGTCGAGATTACCATCGCATAGGGATATAGACTTTACCATTGAGTTACATCCCAGCACATCCCCTATCTCTATGACACCGCATAGGTTGGCACCTGTGGAGTTGCAAAATCTAAAGGTTCAGTTGCAAGAGCTATTAGATAAAGGCTTTATTAGGCCGAGTACCTCACCTTGGAGTGCTCCAGTGCTATTTGGCAAGAAGAAGAATAGGACCTTTAGGCTATGTATTGACTACCGATAGTTGAATCGAGTCACTATCAAGAACAAGTACCCATTGCCGAGAATGCTATATTTGTGCACTATTGATTACTTAATTACCCCTTATGTCAATAGAAAATTAATCGGAGGCTAAAGATTGAATGTGTGAATTGAAGAGCATAGCTCTAATGTCTTTGTATAAAGTAATAAGAATTGTTTATGCTAAGACTTAATACATCTATAAACAATCAAATAACTCTACAAAGCATCTAACAATGGTTAAGCTATTCAACTATAAATTAAGCACAATGTAAGTAAAGATTGAAAGATTGTCATGAAGATCTTGTTTAGGTAGTTGTAAAGAATTATTAGAGTCACTTATACCAAGACTTAACTTGTCTATAGGTGGTTAAAAAATTGTACAAAGTACCTTAACTTTGCTAGATACATTCAATCATTCAACATGTAAAATAAAGGATAATACAATAAGCATAAATGAAATTGCACAAATATAACTTCTGAGCAATACTTTACATGTTCATCACTTCTCACTAAAGAATGAATCAAAAACTATTCAGTCTTCATTGCTAAAAGAAAGGTAGAAAAGTGAGTGAATCTCATCCCTCTAAGTAGAGAAGCTCAAAAATACAAATGTAAAAATATAAAGGCAACGCAATGCTTATCTCCAACAAAAAATAAGGGAAATACTACCCACCCTTCAAGGCTTCAAGCGAGGTAGAAATGTGAGAGAAGTTCACTCCTCTAGGTGAAGGAGAAAGCTACACAAAATGAAAGCTAATGAAAGTAAACCTAGAAATTAGAAGAAAACTAGTTAATTTGGAGGGTTTATTACTCTTCCAAAAGTTGGTTCTTGGACTGAATACAAGGTGGTGTTTATAGGAGAAGAGAGCTTGAAATCTAGAGCTGAAGTAAAAAATGTGAGATCTTTCCATTTGGATATGGCGTTCGAATGCAAATAAAGACCAGTCGAACACTCTTCTGAATTTTCTGAAGCTTTCGTCTTCAGAGATTCTGAGGCTTGATCCCGTTTGAATGCCAACTAAACCATTCAAAGGCCACATATGTTGACCAGCCGCTTAAACAACTTTGGCTACTGAATGCTAGATCCTATTTGATTCTTGAAGCTAGTGCATTCGAAATCCATAGATCCCGTTCGAACATATGGCAAAAAGTCCTCATTTCAGCCTCCTAAGTCTTCATAGTCGAATCCCTTGCTGCCCTTTGTCTCCCTCATATCCTATTACCTCACTGCTTGACAAAATTCCTTATTGTTTCCTAACCTCTATACATCACCTTTTAGCATGTATAGTATATGAATGAAGGGGAGTGTCACTCTCCTAGGAATGATGTCAAAAGAAAGGGCAACGGAATGGTGGATGAATGAGATTTCAAATGTGAGTATGTGTGAACAAAAGTGCTCCCCAAGCGCAAGGAGACTTTCACGGATCGTGTTTTACTTGGCGGTATTCCAAGGTCGTTTCCACGGGGAAGTAAGTAAACCGAGGGGAAGGTGTTTTTGGAAGAAAGAAAGTGTAAAATCTTTAATTGTTGGAAGTTGTTTGGTGAAGTTGTTTTGATGCTAGTAAAATGAGAAACAAATGTTGGCAAATCCAAGAGGTCACTCCAACAGGAATATCGTCTCAACTCGAAACCCTCCTCCAATAGAGCATGAATGAACTATTGATTCGTGGGAAGCTAGGGGTAAGATTGGTGAGTATCTAAGCATAAATCGTGACTAGGCCTATGGAATATCAAAGACTCACCAAGTTATCCACCCTCAATCTAGTCAAACCGAACCATTGAACTCTGAAAGAGGGGAGGAGAATGAGTTGAAATGGTATACCCAAGTGGAGGTTCCTCTTGGTTTTGCCAACTAAAAGATTTTGCTATTCATTCTTAAAATAAATACAACAATATGATGAGAAAGCATTATGAAAAAAAAAACTAGAGCTAAGCATAAACGAAATGCATAAATATAACTTCCGGATAATCACCTCTTACTAAAGATTGGATGAAAAACTACTCACTCTTCATGGCTTTGTTAAAACTAGAAAAGTGAGTGATGCTCATCCTTCCAAGTAGAGGAGTTACAAGATAAAACACTTTACACAAGGATCCGATCTTTGACAAAGAATTAGTGAATCACGTTCCACCCTTCACGGCTTTGGTAAAGCTCTAGAAAAGTGGAAGAGTTTCACTCCTCTAAGGGAAGAAGGAAGCTTAAGCAATGAAAATAAAAGAAAGCAATAACATAATAAAAGAAAGCAATACTTAAAGTAAAAGAAAGCAATAAATTAAAAGAAAGCAATAATACAATAAAAGAAAACAATACTTAGAGAAAACAATAAGCAATAAGGAAAGAAATAATATTTTTGGAGGGTTTTCCACTACCAAATGATGATTGTTTTACAAGTCCTAAGGGGTGGTATTTATAGGCAACAAGGGAGGGTGAAAGTCTTATTAAGTGGCTTTGAATCTTGTTAGGTAGCCTTGAAAAGTCTTGTTTGGTGGCATGAAAGTCTTGTTAGGTGGTCTTGAATTATTTGATTCCCCTTTGTTTTGAGTTTTGATAATTGGCACCCCAGTAGTTTGTAGTTTTAATGCAATTGACTCTCCAGTAGTTTGTAGCTTTGACGTACAAAATCCTGAAAAGAACAACAATTAATGCATTATCCTTTATTCACACACTAACTCTAATTTGATTTATTTTGACTAGTTTACTTTATTCAACTAACACAATTTACCTATTAAATTATGTCTTAATTAGGGTTAATCACTCACCTTATCCTACAAATCATGACTTTCATCCCTATGTAATAATTACATAGTAAATGACCTTAATTCTATCTTCTTAAATGCAAAAGTATGTAATTAACCATTCAAATTGATGTTTCAATTGTCATTTTTAATGGTTAATCACACCCCTAACCTAGATATTACTAGTCCCTAGTAATTAAAGGTAAAACTTAATTCAATATATACAAGAACATTTTCGCAGGTTATACGATTGCATTTAGCATAAGCAGTAAGTCATTAAACCCATAGGTTATGCCTAGTGGATGAGTATTATCTCGTGAAGGTTTTCAATGAAGATACCTACAAACTTCAATTGCATGTCAACAATAATTGGGATGACCTGTTAGATCCATGTTAATAATGAGATTATAATAATGTCTAACCATAAAGTCGAATAAATCTCTTGAACCTCATTCATAGATATCCATACTAAAAAAAAAAAATCCACATGTCATATCATCATTTAAAACTCCTGTGTATGTGGATCTTGTTATTTTCAAAATTCTATTAAACAACAACCTTCCCCTTTTAGCCATACATGGCTTGTTCTGATGTCAAACCTTACCAATGGTTAACACTTGACAATAGAAGCATTTCAAGTCATAGTGACTTACATATTCACAATGCTCATATGTGAGGAGAATCATCAAAATAAAAGTATGACACACATATATTCAATCTCAAAAAATGGATTTTTGAATGAACAAATTTGATATAATCTGATGAAAGATATTAGTTTGAAGCAAAAGCAAAAATATTGACAGATCCATAACTATTGGAGAAATCCGTCTACAAAAACTTTTATTGATATCAAATAGGACTTTTCTCTTCGTTGTAACTTGGTCATAGGGCGAAGGTTATAGAAGCGAAGGTTTTCAAGGATTCAAGGAGTTTAATCTGAATTTGTCATATTCTTACAACACTTCCCTTTTCGTTTAAAGGAGTTTGGTAACATAATATTTTGTATATCCCTTTTTTCTTTCATAGCCTTTGGAATTTCAAAATCTTTCAAGGATATTGATTTTTGTCTTCTTTCTTTCTTGTTCTCCTCTTTGATCATATCATTTTCTTGTCGCTTCCCCTTTTCAAAGATAAATTCATGACATCAACATCGAAGTTAACCAAGGTAAGGAATAATAGTCATATGCTTGGCTTGGTAATTGATGTGGCTAAGAATGAAATTTCAATTTATGGCTCAATTGTGGCAGTCAAGGGATATCAAAAGAGAAGAAAGTGGCTAAGGCTCAATTGTATTCAAAGATGGCCCATAATCATTTCTCAAGAAAATGCAAATGCACATATTTTTGTAGGATCATGTCACTAACATGGTTCGCTCATACTACCCAAAAATTTAATATTGAGATTATTGAAAGAACTTTGGCAGAAAGAGAAGTCTTACTTGAGTATATGCATTATGTCCCTCCAAGAGAAGATTGGCTCAAGAAAACCCTATCATGGTCAACATTCCATCTCCACAATATTTTTAAAGCCTCCAAGGAAAGGTGTTATCCAACAAAATTCAAAAGTAGCATGATAATGTGAACATTTTGTGTGTTTCAACTAATAATATGACAATGATATCTAAATTTAGGATGAATTCCTATAAACTTGCAGGGAGATAGATTCAAAGTAAGTTAGCACTTGTAATAATCACATGTTAACCAAAATTTCACAAGCTATCTCAATTATGCATAGACACGAGGTACTATGTAGACAAATAAAATTATCCTTGCAATTAAAAACAAAAGCAATAACCAAAACATTAAACTTCATAACAAACCAAGGCAAATGTTAATCTTAGCATAACTCAAATTCAAAGTCAAACAGTCAAAGCATAAACCATAATCATCCTCAAAAAGAAATGTAGTTTAACTACTTAATCAAAAGACAGAGGAAGAGAAAGTAATAACCAAGTCCTCAAGCAGATGAGGAAGGTCCAGCATTATATCTCTGCCTCAAAATACGAAGTATCTCCTTCTGATTATCTTCGTAATGACCCATCCTATCCTCAGGATCTCATAGTCTTGATCCATTCCAAGTATTATCTCCCTCTCAGACCTCGCACCTGGTTTCTCGTATGCAGGTTGATTATCCCCATGTTGTGCATCATCCTCCCCTTCCACATTTACCTCATCTTGCCCTGCCGCCTCCACTAGTACCCTTCTAGCAGATTGAGTTTGACTCTTCTTATCTGACCTTGCATTCAAAGGTCCCATTGACTTTTCAACCTCCTAGCTTTAGTCAATTTTTATCCCCCTTTTTGCCCACATTTTAGTCATAAGACACCCAAAAGGAAGAGTTTCCTTTTTATCATCTGCAACAAGAATCGTTTCATTCAAAATCAACGTGAGTAAAGCAATGGATTACCCAGTGCCAATAGCAAATAATAGTCTAGGCCTATCCGTATAAATCTCATTCTTCCTACTCTGTGGCATGAAATTCATTACAGGAATTAAATTCAACATTTTTTATTTGTCAATCAACTTTCCTTCAAGCAAATAGCTTCAACACCCCCACACAAACACGTCATTATAGGATACTCACAACATCCAATTCAAGAGGCACAATTGTAGGATACTCGGGATTCACCTCCGCACGCACATTCCTAAATTCAAGAATTTTCCTAATTTTCACAAAAATCCTCTTCCCTTGTACATTAGTGTAAAACCCATCTTCTTTCACCACTGTGGCATAAAACTCTGGCACAAGCATCACAACCCCTTTTCCCTCATTATGTAAAAAATGTCCCCATCCATGCTCATTCAAAAAAAATTAAGTACCAAAATTCACAAAGTCATTCAAAGAAATTTTCCTTTCAACACAAATGGATTTAGTTTTGAAGGAAGTTTCACACGTTTCAAATTGAGCCTATTTTCAAATCGACTACTATCTTTCCTGCTCCGGTTTGGAGCTCCACATTCCACAGTCACCTCCTCCACGACAAAGCTTGGCCCTTCATTGACCGGGTGAACACTTTTCCTAGTCGTAAACTTGAACCTCCTTGTAGATGTGGACATTTTTTGGTTTTTGAATCTTTGGTGGGTTCAACAATAGAGAACAAAATCGGTGGAAGTGTGAAAATCTTGATAAAATTGAGTTTAGATGGAAGATATAAGTGAAAAAAATGATTGGGAAATGAAGATTTTGGGTTGGGTAGGAGTTTTCATAACCTAAGGTTTGGTTTAGGAAGTTTTTGGGTGTGCAGAATGGTTGGAGAAGACGATGTAGATTTTATACCCCGACAGTGCATCCAAACGGACTTAATGAAGTTCAAACGTGGTTAAAAAAATTTTGGATGGCGTTCGAATGGTCTTAACGGTGTTCAAACGCTCTGTTTGCTCTCCATTTTTCTACGGTTTCTCAAGATTCTAAGACCAAATCCTATTCGAATGTGAACAATGTGTTCGAATAGTTTAAAATCTATATTTTTATTTATTATTTATTTATTTATTTTTCAAAAATATTTTTCTTTTTAATAAAATATGAAAAATTAATTTTCAAAAACTAAAATCCATATATATATATATATATATATTTCACATATATTTACAATTTTTACATCAAGGAATTCGAACCATTGACCTTCATTTGCTCGAGACGAACTTTTAACTATCTCGGCTGGACCCGCAGGTTCGAATGATTTTGCTAGAACTATATTGATATCTCTTACCTAAGCCCACATGGCAAAGAATTTTTTTAATCCGATTCTTGCTCAAATTTTATATTTTTTGAAGAATCAATGAACACTAATTGATATCTCTTACCTAAGCCCGCATAAGTACTATACTAGAGTAGGTTGACGTCTCAGGAAAATCCTTATTCTATTCATACACTATCCAATTAATATGATCATGTGCACGACCTGAAATTTGTTGAGAACACTAATTATTCTCTCTCGTGTGAAAGAGTCAACCATTTCGATTGCATGCACCGAGTCGCTTGGCTCGGTGACGCTTCGCAAATATGCTCCTTCCATATTGTGGTTTGGCTTTTTTTTCTTGGATTTCAATTTTTCTTACCATCCTTGTTTTTTTTTTTTTGCATTATTAAAAAGTGCAAATCTATTGAGAATGTGCGTAAAACACCTAAACTAAACGAAAAAAGTTTAACCTCCATGATTAATAAAAATTTACAACACTCTATCCTTTTCTTTAATGTCTGCTAGTCACAAAGACAAAAATAATTACTTCAATTTGCCGAAAAAATTTAGACACATGAAATGTTTTAAAACAAAAATCCAAAGTGCAAAGTACTTCCAACCCCCAATCTAAACTCAACATTGTCTACAATGTTTTGATTTTATCAATTAATGCAAGATGATTGTAAAGTTGAAAGGTAGGGAAAACCTGCACATCCACCGAAACGCTATAAACAAAATACACAATATTAGTTCAAGATAGACACTATATATAAATTGACAAATTCATCCAAGAATTTTTGGATCCATAAGATCAATGGATTCCACATGCTCGACAAACCTTTCATAAAATGGTTTAAGATGTTGTCCATTGACTTTAAAAATATTACAATTTGAAGGATTCTCAATCTACACCTCTTTGTATCTAAACACTTGCTTCAAATACAAAGTCTTTTCCACCTCGAACTTAACGTACCAAGAAATAGGTGAAGCCTTGAATTGTACAGGAGAACTTTCTAGAAAGGAATAAAGGATTTCCACACTATGTTTTTGTCATGAAAAAATGTCATCCGTACTTTTGCTATTTTGGCATTTTCAAAAGCCTCATTCCTTAGTTCTTCCAATTCACTAATCTATAGTTTTCTAGAAGTACCTGTCGCGTCCAAATCAAAGTTCATGGTTTTAATTGACCAATAAGCCCTATGTTTCAATTTGACAGACAAGTGACAAGTCTTTCCATAAACTAGTCGATAGGGAGACATACCCAAAATTGTGTTTAAAGGCAGTGTGATATTACAACGACCAATGTTTCAGTCAATCATAACGACCAATGTTTACGGTCTGGGTTTACCATTTTTTTCAAAATCATTTTAACCTCCTGATTGGCCAGTTCAACTTGCCCACTAGTCTATGAGTTATAAGGGGCTGCAACTTTATAAGAAATCAAATATTTTTTTCATCAGGTTTTCAAAAGGTCGGTAGAAAAAATAAGCACCCCCACCACTTATGATGGATCTGGGAATTCCAAATCAGGACAAAATATTTTCTTTTAAAATCTTAATCACTGTGCGGTGATCATTATTTTGGCATAGAATTACTTTATCCCATTTTGACACATAATCAACAGTGGCCAAGATGTATAGATAGCCAACGGAAGGAAGAAATGGTCTCATGAAGTCAATGCCCCAACAATCAAATATTTCAATCACGAGTATGGGGTTCAACGGCATCATGTTTCTTTTGGAAATACTCCCCGTTCTTTGACATCTATCACACGATAGACAAAAGGCATACACATCTTTGAAAAAGGTGGGCTAATAACATCCACGCTGTAGAATTTTTTAGTGGTTTTCTTTGAGGAAAAATGTCACCCACATGCTTCAAAATGACAAAAAGAGATTACCTGGCTAATTTCATCATTGGGTACAAAGTGTCTTATGATTTGATCCTTACAGTATTTAAACAAGTATAGACCTCCCAAAAGAAGCCACGCACCTCTCTTAAAAACTTTTTTTTGCCAGTCGAGGTGTGGTGAGAATGAATAGTACCTGTGGCAAAAAATTTGGCAATGTCTGTATACAAAGGTACCTCAGAAAATGGCAAGAAGTTGTTCATCAAATAAAGTTTCTTTGATTGGCAAGGGTTCCTCTTTTGTGTCATAGTTCAGCTAAGAGAGATGGTCTGCCACCACATCCTCTACTTTTTTCTTATCTTCAATTATCAGATCAAATTCTTAGAATAAGATCATCCATTGACGAATGCGTGGTTTGGCATCCTTTTTCATGAGCAAGTATTTTAAGGTTGCATAGTCAGTAAAAACAACAATAGAGGACTACACTAAATATGACCTGAACTTATCCAAAGCAAATACTATTCCAAACAATTCCTTTTCTATCGTGGAATAGCTCATTTGTGCATCATTCAAGGTCTTGCTTGCAAAGTATATCACATAGGGTCGATTATCTTCTATGTCCTAAAACAACACCTATAAAATAATCACTAGCGTGTGACACATGAGTTCGAAAGGTAAAAACCAATCAAGGGGCTACATGATAGGTGCGGAAATTAGCATGCCTTTGAGCTTCTCAAAAGCCTTTTGGCAAACCTCAATCCACTTGAATGTGACATCCTAACATAGGAGATTACATATAGGTCTAGATATGGAACTAAAGTGTTTAATGAATCTCCTATAAAACCCAACATGACCTTGGAATAATCTAACATCTTTAATAGTCTTAGGTTGTGAAAAGTTGCCAATCAGATCAATTTTAGCTTTATCCACATTTATCCCTTTAGACGAGACAATATGGCCCAGGACAATCCATGAAGTAACATTTTTCTCAATTCAAGACAAGATTTGTTTCCTCACACCGAGTTGGAAATTTTTTCAAGTCGTTCAAATACAGCTCAAATGAGTCACCATACATGGAAAAGTCATCCATAAATACCTCCAAAAAGTGATCCACCATGTCACTACAAATGCTTAGCATGCATCATTGAAATGTGGTTGGAGCATTGCACAGTCCAAAAAACATCCTTTTATAAGAAAAAGTACCAAAAAGACATGTGAAGTTGGTCTTTTCTTAGTCATTTAACACAATCTCAATTTGTTTATGCCTAGAGTATCCATTCGAGAAATAGTAGAAACCATGACCATCTATCCTTTCAAGAACTTGATCGAAAAAAGGTAGAGGAAAATGGTCACTTTTAGTGACAAAGTTCAATTAGTTGTCAATACACATGCGTCAACCCGTGACAATACAAGTTGGGACTAACTCATTCTCCTCGTTTTTGACTACTGTGACACCTGATTTCTTAGGTACTACTTGGGTAGGGCTTACCCATTTACTTTTAGAGATAGGGTAAATGATACCCGCATCTAGCAATTTTAGCACCTCAACCATTACAACCTTTTTTAGATGTAGATTTAACCGTCGTTGCGATTGACGAGAGAATTTTGAATCCTCCATCATGTATATAAATGTGTACAAACAAGAGGAATTATACCCTTAATGTCAGCTATGGTCCACCCAATTGTATTTTGATGCCATTATATGACCTTTACCAATTTTGACTCTTGTGACTCAAACAACTTAGAAGAAATCACCACTGGATAAGTTCTTCCTCCCCTAAAAAGATATATTTCAAGTCAGTTGGGAGAGGTTTCAACTCGAGTTTTGGTGATGTGACACTAGATAAAATAGGATTTGTGTCACTTAGTGACAACTCCTCAAATTGTTAGACCCATGTTCTCGCAAAAGAAATATTTACAATTGACTCATTTTACAGACTCACTATCTAACACTGACCCAAACTACAACAACAATTGATCAAACACATTTGACTCCAACTCATTTCCTCGAATGCAACAATAAAAAATTCTTCAATTAAAGACTCGATGCAATTGATTTCATGCATGTCTCCTTCCTCCTCTTGATGTTTATCTATGTTAAAAATGTTCAATTCCAAAGTCATGTTACCAAAAGATAGCTTCATTATTTTGTTCCTACAATTAATCAGAGCATTAGAAGTAGAAAGAAATGGTCGGCCTAGAATGACTGGAATTGGAGTGTCA